GCGTTATTACGTATCGCAATGTAACGTCGAATACTCAGGCAAGCTGATGCCGTAATGTAACGTCGAATACTCAGGTAAGCTGATGGCGCATACTCGGCCGGGTTTGCCGCGGCCGCGCCCCAAATCGTGAAGAAAGTGGGGGAGCCAGGACATACACAAATTCTATTTTGATTTACCATATTATTTAATAAGTGACTGGTAGAGGCATTTCACCTCTGTGCGGCTTTCTTTGCATTTGGTGCACTGTTTGAATTTTTCTGATACTCAATTCAATAAGCAGTAACAATCATTATTGTTAAGGACAGCGCAGTGGCAAAGGGCGCCACTGTTGAGGGTAATCATTCGACTAGCTCATCACTTCAATCCTCGACCCACTCAAAGCAGGTCCCTCACGCCAACGAGGTCGGTGAAATTGTGTCAGAGATTGGTGTGGGTGCATGATGATGTGAAGTGAAAATTGAAAAAAGGCCAGAATTTGTGAATTCCCTACAAGTCGCTTTTACGGTTTTGAATGAAATGTTAATGCATGGCGCATCCATTCCGGTATTTGTCAAGCTGCATGACTTGTCGTAGCCCTTTTCTTGTAGTACTTTCATTTGAGTAATAGCAGAGGCCGAGCAAACGCTGTCGTAAATTTGAATTGATAGTTTCCTGTAGATGTAGTTGTAATTATTTGTAGTGAAGCCTCTGAGAGAGTCATTTTTTTCAGACGTTCTTCGTTCTTTTTTGTTGGGAGAAAAAGTCTTGTTCCTGCAAGTCTTTCGTTTTTGAGACCGAGAAGTAGTACGAAAGATAGGCTGTTCATAATAAAAACAGGGAGCTGCCTTGGATCCTGCTAGCATTGGGTATTCGATTGTAATAGTTTAGATTTTTGATGCTGCTTCTCCTCATAGACATGTTTTTCGCTGTCCTTTTGAAATGAAGCGATTATTAGCTTAGGAATGAATTTCTTGCTAGTGCCTAGCTGTAACGCCGATGAAGAACGGTGCGCGTATACAAATATAGTGCGCCTCCAAATTTGCTTCCCCAGACGCTTAGAGAGTGGGAAAGGCGTGCTAGAGGTCAGGAGGGGGATCGCATAATAGTGGGCTGGCCTGGCGTGCACCGAAGTCGGCGGATTTTCTTGCCAATTCTAATGGCTCGTTCCCCGAGAATATTATCAACTAGACAGGTTAAGGGTGGTAGGGGATGGCCAGGAGAAAAGGTCAAATGCTGTTGGTGGGCGGGACGTGAGCCGGAATAGGCGAAGTTGCCCACGATTTATAAATCGTTCAGAGGAAGTCCAATAGACCAGAAAAAATCGGGTAATGGTAGAGGCAAGGAGGAAAGGTCAAGAGCCACCAGTGGGTGGGGCATGCAACGTCATGGGTGTAGCTAGAATCCTAAGTCGCACTATGGTCCAGACATAGCAGGGATACCGAGAACAAAACCGATGGAGCCTAGTTTAAGAAGGACAAGTCCTAATCGCGTCGTGTCGGGACAAATTCGATAATTTTTGTTTCACCGCTCATTTCGCCTTGGCAGGATGTTGTAAACGTGCACCAGCGCGCGGCTCGCAACGTGGCTCAGAAAGTGCGAGTCTTTGTTCTGGACTCTAGAAAATACTTCATTGCGTGAGCTATCATGTCGTCAAGGATGATCAAGAGAATGTAAGAGGGGATCGCTGCAGATGTGACAGTTCAGAATTACGTGGGAGCAGGAGCGGTAAAGTGCGCAAGTACCTTCATTGCCTGTAATGAAAAGAGCAGGAATAAACTTCGTAAAGCAAGTGATGAGGTGGCTCACCACCAAATTGTGAAAACTGTACAGTCCTTAGCTTTTGCCACGAAAGCGAATATGGCGGCCGCGTAGTACGCGATGTTGAAAGGTTTTTGCGAAACGAGAATCGCTTTGTTAGCATTTTTTTTTAATCGTGACACTGATGACTTCCCATAATATCGATTGACCAGTTTTATAAATCTCGTGGCGTTGAAATTCTCGTATCTCCTAATGAACTGATTTCGGGCCATGCCGTCATCCGCGTTACTGCTTTTCTCCGTATGGAAAAGATGATTGGAATCGACCATCTATCAGCGACCCAGCATTTCTGAAATAATTGCCTATATAAGTGCTAAATGGCAATAGTAGCTGTCCTATGCATCGGTCCTTGCTCGCCTTCGATCGCTCACGGCATGTCGTCCTGACCAGGGTGAATAACGGTCGAGGAAATCCTCGACCATAGCTCTCTACCATGCGAGAGTAGTGCCGAGAGTGAACATCCGCGCGGAGAGCACAGACGGCACGGCATGGCGAGTGTGAATGTCCGCGCGAGAGATCGTCTCTGATCGGGCAGAGAATCCTCGACGTGCCGTTGAGGAATCCTCAAGCGATATTCACCCTGCTATGACTGGGACGGAAATTTTTTGAGCACATCTCGCCCTGTTTCATAGGCCGGTCCCAGCATTATTAGTGGGCACGTCCAAGCTCAGCACTCCTCCACAATAGGTCCTCGGCTGTCAAACTTTTCCGGGGCACGACAAAAGCCTGATGGTGAAGTACACCAAAGGAAACTCACACCAATGCTGAAACGCTAAACCTCTAGTATGATAAAGAAAAGAGAAAGTAACGGTCGAAGGCATCAGCCAAGGAAATTGTGCTGCATAACCAGGTGATGAATGGACCAAGACAATGCCAAGTACATATCTGCGATATACACCATGCGAAAGTGAGCAAGAGCGGTTTAGTGATAGAGATGACATTCAGTGAGGTGGCCTAAAACAACGACATAAAGCGGGAGTAGTCGACAGCGGCGTAGAAAAGCAGTAGAGTGCATGGTGAGTTACAGTACTTCACGAAGTACGGTAGGTCGTAATCGACACTATCAAACAGATCGGGTGAAAAAAGTATGTTCATCACAGAAAACCCCTAGGCACTCATCCGTGACCCACAGTACTCTTGTTAGTATTCCTCAAATGGCAAGTATTGGCAGAATATTGATTACTGCTTTATTTGTGTCCGATTTCAGCCACCACCGCCTCCGAAATTTCCCTTAAAACCAAAACCACCATCGAAACATCAGTTGCTCATGGAACAGATCAAGGTGAGTGGCAATTATGAGTGGTTTCATAGAACATCTTTCAACTGCTGTGGCCATTTTACTGCCCTACCTTCGTGGCAGGATAGTTTACTTCTGAATGTATAGTGTTCCCATACCCTGAATAGTCGATGCTAGGGCAAGTTTTTGACTGATTGGCGGCTTTTCAAAGTTTTTTTTGCACCGGCAATTTCTTAGGCGGCAGGTTTTCTTTTACACCGGCAGTTACTGCAAAATGAATAGCCTATCCGATCATGTTTTCCGGCTGTCATCACAGAAATCTTGACTGCAGAAACAAATCCATCGGAACAAAACGCGACACATGACGGAACAACAGCATCCCTTTCAATAAATAAATTTACGAGAAAATATTGGTTCCTGTGGGTAACCACACAGCACTCAGTCACGATCAGTGAACAAGATTACGCTGGCTATCAATTCAAGCAAGAAGCAGGTGGAGCGGGCCCGAGAGAACAGAAGCGCCCCTGTCGTCACAGTTAGAAGTGCAGAACACTGACGGATCAAACTACTAACTGTTAGAAAAAGCAGTTTCCAAACGAAGCTTTTAAAGTAAGGTCTGGAGTAGTGGAACATTTTTCTACATAGTGCTTGCAGGATGCATGGCGCATCCTATAGTTTGTTCTCGGCATGCTTGGCGAAGGTTAATTGCCGCCGAACACATAATTGAGTGTGCACTCATGGTTAGTGAATAGTTGGCCACACTGGATCTCTACTTTAACCTTTTCTAGGTTCATTGATCCTTCCCAAAATTATTTTGGTGTATCTAGGGAAATAACGTGTTTAAATTTGGAACCGCCCAATTTTAGGAGTTCGCAACATCGCCTACGCCCTATTACACCCTTACCACTGAACATTAGTTTTTCCTTTCATCTCAAAAAGAGGTCTGTTGGTGAAAAAATCTGCCGGCAAGAGCGAATTCACTTCACTACAAGCTATCGCCTCCAGGCCGTTCTACAGGAGTTCTCACATGGGGGACAATGCATAGCGCACCTAGCAACCTCACTGTTTTGTCCTCTCAAGATCTTTTTCTAAATTTATTGTTCTAGGCTTCTATCGAAGCGGACAAGTTGAAGCCGAAGAAGGAGATCAAAGCGCGTGTCTCATTGTTACCACCACCGAGAGCCTCCACCACAGCCGCAGAACGAGAACACCACAGGTACCGCCTATTTTCCGAGTTTGCTCCGCCCAGTTTTTTCTGCACTTGAACCATCTTTCTTTCTGTTTCCTCTCTATGACTTCCTCATAACTTTTTGTTCGTTGATTTGATGATTATTCTCCTTCTTTCGTCTTTGTGAACTTGTTCCTGTGGCAAAAGACTCTTTTTCGTTTGCGAAATTTTCTTCAGCATGCGGTGCTATCGCAGAAAGAGGACCAGAGAAATTGTAATGACATCCAGTCTTCCCTTTCACTTTGCTGCGGCCTTTCTTTCCAAGTATTCATAGAAAAAATACAATAAAAAGGTCTTGGATAAATGTTTTTTTTTGCGCGTAGTACACTTTACACTTCTGATTTCGCGCCTCTACTTCTCATTTCTCGGTTTTCATTTGTATTGGTCAACTGCCTTCCTCATCCCTCGGATACGTTCCTTTTTTTGGATTTTTCACTTATATGCTCGTATATTCATTTCCTTATTTAATTGGAAGGAATTTGGACTCACAAATGCTCAAAATTTGAATGCCAAAATTCCTACAAATCTGTCAAATTTATTTAAAAGACGACCGTTTCGCCCGCCGACGAGCCACACTTTCATACCGAGGAGCTTCGTATGGGAAAAGTAATCGATGCTTTTCCGTTTTCGAAGCAGTCCATTAAATTATAGGGTCAAAAAATAACGTATTCATTACCTCTGATGAAGTTATGAGAGCTTCAATAACTCTTGATGGGAAAATATGAAAAAAGATGAAGCAAAGGGTCATAACGGCTGTCTTCAGTGGGTTAATCAGACCGAAAGAGTAGTAAACGGTATTCGTGCCAACTTTTTTCGGCACAAAATCAATTGCTAGGCGGTTGGATACGGTCACTACTATCTACGGTGCATAGCTATTCTATACTGTTCATTACTACTGCATTCAGTTGATGTACCCGCGCGTGGCCGCTCTGTAGAGTTCCGTGTCATTAATATTTCGAGACACATACTATGAGTTTTGGCGGAAGTGGTGTAGTGGTAAGTGGCGGCGCTTACCACGCAAATGGCCCGAGGATGAAATCCAGGGTTTTTTCTGTCCACTTTTTCTGGATTTAGCAAACAAACCATCTATGCCTCCAAGACCGGTTAATTGGTACCAGACTTGTCTGGGAGGATAAAAACACTGACTTGTACATCGGCTGGCCCCCGCAAGTCATTGTATAGGCCACATCGCATTCAAATGCCACTGCGAATGTACAAATGGAAGTAGAATGTGTGGCGCACCCTATAAGATGGATGACGACGAGTATGTTATCCTTCATCTATGATATGTGTTCCGATGGAGATAGACGATTGTTATTGCTTATTCAATGTTTGTGTTTGCGGATGTTATCCTTAGGTCAATACGCTTCCTCTCATCGCACCAAGACACTGGAAAAGATTATCCTAGCTGACTTTACGAGTGAGGGTCGTTTGTTTAATGACGATGCCACTGTTTTGTTGTTGTTGTTCCACAGCCGTTTGCATGCGGAATTTGTGACTTTTACATAGCGAATTGCGCCGATCAACGACAATTCGAAGCCCATCAAGAACTGTAATATCTGCCAAAGTTTTCAGCTTGGAAGGTTTACAGCCAATTTTGAGGTGAAACGGTGCCTCAGTGGTCTTGATGGTAGTATAAGTGCCCGGAAACCGACAAGCCCAGATTCGATTTTCGCTCGAGCTGAAGTGTTTTCCCCCTCAGCTATTCTATTGTTTTTATCCTTTTAGGTGTCCCTTGGCTGAAACAACCTTCCTAGCGTAATCGCCTACCTTACGCACTGTTTGTAGCATCAGATCCCGATTAAGACAATCAAACCATGAATCCCTCGAATTCTGTGCAAATGGAATTGAAGGGAACCATTCCACTCTCCTCTGCGGCTCTACGATAAGGATCAAGATAAAAGGATATCTCTAGCTACAGGCATAGGAACTTTGATGACACGCACATCCTTTCCATTCTCTTGCACGTTTTCGATGGTCCACCCACTGGGGAGCTCCTTCTTGCACCCTATTCTCTCCTCCTGGGCCCAGGCAAAAATATCCGGCTCTACGATCGGGATCGCTTCTCCGCGCCATTCCAGGCTCATTTAGCCTGGTTCTTACCAGAAAAATTTTTGGAATGGAAGTGTGACCAGAGCTTTTTCGAAAGCCATTACCTTGATCATTATCATTGGAGCCGCAGTGCAGAATGATTTTGCCCTTCAAACTCTATCCATTGTTTTCAATATCACCGACGTCTTCGATTCACTGTAAAGGTTTTCTCCTGCCTGGAACAAGTCATGGCGCAATCCTTAAGATTTGATCGAACCCAGTCATTGTCTTCACTTTTATGCTACCATTAAATCCGAATTGAGGCGAATTGAGGACATCCTCAGTTTTCGGATATTTTTATGTGCTTTTTGTGAAGACGTTACAGCACGTTTTAGTGTTATAGTGCTTTAAATCTGTGCCCAGTGCAGAGCTGCCCAGTGCTCAGAGCGAAATATGCTACCAAGTCACCGTAAAGCACGAAAAAATCTGATTTAGGGGTACTTTGTCTTCGACCTCTGCAAATGCATTTCGTGTGCCGTTATTCGTTTGACAATAAAAGTTCTGGCTGTAAGGACGATGTCAGACTCCTCGAATTCAGGCGATGTGCTAGTAGGGAATTGGCAGATTTTCTGGTAAAATTCGATTCAAAGTGGATTCACAAGGTCTGACATCGGTCTAAGGAAGACAAGATTATAAGTATCACGGAAAGAGATGGGGACCGTAACCCGCATTGGCGTCGAAGAGCGCAGTTGCAAGCCTGCGCGCACAACGCGGAGTGCGTAAGGTGCGGAAACAGCCAGTCAATAAGGATCCCCGGCCACCAAACTAAAAACTGGAGAAGCGTGGCCATGGGTGGACTCGCCCTGCCGAGCGGCCCAACGCCCATACGTGGAAAAAGTACGCGTCTAACGCCTACGTCCGAACTTAAAAACCTCCTTATACACACTTAAAGCCCACTCAGCCACATGTGGGCTGCAGCCCTCCGACCGCATAGGACCTTTCAGCTCGCATTTCGGTAAACAATTATTAGGTTTTCATTCATTTTCTTTTCCATTTTATCCGATAAGATTTCTTCTGCATTATACAGTGGGTTCTTCTTTTGAATTTGCTAGATAAGATCCCTAAAAATTTCACCGAAGTCCCGCGCGGCCGCGGAACGTAAAACACGCGCGGTCTCCAAAGTGTTAAGAAGGGATAGTTATCTTCGTCAAGACCTTCACCCGCCTTTCCACCCCAGTCCCATTGGGTAATTTTTGTGTGAATGTGGAGTTTAGAATGAGCGAGCAGTGCTCACACTTCGAACAAAGCGCACATCCCTCGTGCGCTAATGTCTCTATCTGCGATCAGTCTCATTACTATGCGCCTCGCAACTGATTACCATTCGTAGTTGCGAGGCCAGGTGAATTAATGTTTGGCCTGTGAAGTAATTATGAGCGATATCTGCCTCAAGCTGATGGTTTCATATCAAAACCCACTATACGAAACAGGTCGCTGTGGAACACATGGCCGGCTGAACTGATCTGGACGAGATTTTATTTATGAGCTATTTGAGTGCGCCACGTTCCCAAATTTTTTCTCCAGAATCGTAGAGACTTTTGGATGTATACCCATGTGACGCGAGAATTTGTGCCGTTTCCCAGCGCTTCACTTCCACCAAGGGTCTCCATGAGTGGTAGTGCTCATTGTAGTTAGAAAGAAAGCTCTGTGCAACGGCATCTGTTTACTGCAACTCGTAAAGGACCTGGCTTTCTGAAGCTTTAGAGCTCGTCTAGAAACGTTTATCTGATTTGACCCAATTCTTCAAAATCCAAGCGAGTGATAGTTGCGTTCAGGTGATTGGGTGAAAACTCTAATCCTCGAAATCCGATTGTTGGAGTACGAAAGGCGTCTGTTCGTCAGAGATTCTAATGCGCGAAATAGCGGGTGTATGCATGTAACAGATCATGGAGCACATTTTTTGTATCGTCGAGCTATTCGTCCAGCTTTGTTAGATTTGATGAATAGACTGGCACCATCGTCAGCGTGACGATGTACTTTTTTCGCATTCTTCTCCGGTGATGGTCAGAATCACGAAACAGTGGTCTGACCGTGGTCGTCTACGTGACGATCTTTCCACACACTCATTTCACCGATTCGTATTCCTTTCCATTCTGCGCAACTTTTCGTGTCACAATGTGGAATTTAAATGCACGGTTCTTTCTCCTATGCATTAGATTTCCATAATTAGCCACGTCCGGCAGCTCTTCGCTTTCTTCTTCGACCCTTCATAACTCCAGGTCTTGAAAGACAGTTTGAATTGGGTGTCCTTTCATTTACAGTGCTTTCATTTTCGCGATACCTTCAAATTTACTATCAGTATTTTTGATAGCTTCCAAAAGTAACCTCCTTCAGAAAAGCCAGAAAGTGTCGGGTGCAGACCATACACCACAAGTGACGACGGCCTCCAGAAAATGCAAATGTTTTTTGCCAATGAAATGATTAACCTGTTACAGTTGTATTCGATCAGTTGACAGTAATTACAACTATCATTTACTAAAAATCAGCTATCACTATGAACCACTACTAACCAGATTTACTTTGAGGCCGTCGTCAGTTGTGGTATATGGTCTGCACCGCACAATTTCTGGCTTTTTAGGCTCGGAGGGCCACAAGTATATGATGTTATAATCTATGTTCACAATAACACAAAGAATGTATTATACGAACAGTCTTTCAGTTCACGACCGATTGACTTAATGACTCGGGTTGCAATAAAATTGATGTGTTATTTTTGGAAAATTAGACAAGAAATGCGAAGAAGAACGTTAGTGGGTGAAAAACGGAGGAAGCACCATAGAAACACTAAATTTTCTTGTGAGATCGGCCGTGGTACGTCTGAGAGACATAGCGCCGCGAGGAGGGGGAGGGGAGACGCGAGAGAGTGTTTTACAAGAGAGCGATTCTACGCGAGTTCAGGATTCTCATCACGGTTGAGTTCCGGTGATGATCGAACTCCATAGGAGCAAT